AAGCAGTGATTTATGTCAATTGTTCTCAAAATGTGGTCCCATACCAGCAGCATCTGCTTTTCCTAGAAACTTGTTAGAAATGCAAATTCTGGCTGCACCACAGGCTTACTGAATCTGAAACTCCACCAAGGGGCCCAGATATGTCTGTGAACAAGCCCTCCAAGAGATTCTGCTGCCCAATAAAGTTTGAGAGCCACTGGTTTAAGACATAATGTTAGTGCAGAAAGCAAGGCAGTTTTATGTGACTATAGCTGCACAAACACATAAATAGAAAAGGTGCACTGAAAAAGTGTGGATAAAATGGTAATAGTTGTATTGGGTGATAGTGGTACAGACGACTTGCTTTTACCTTTCAAATTTTTAGGAATGTCACTCTATTGCTTATCTATTCTTTTAAGATCCAGGAAGCCCTGGGTTGTGGCGATGTGGGTTTTAGTGTGTTGTGCTGGCAGGTGTGCATGAGAGCATCATGAAGAATGTAACAAGAGGAATGGCTCTTGCTTGGACAGGCCCAACGCGGCGGGTTTCGCCCAAGGGCCTGTAGCTGCTCGGGGAGAGTTAGCCTGGCCCGGCTCTCAGCCTGGGTCACTCATTAGAATCCCCTGGGGAGGTTGTATGACAAATGATGCCTGAGTCCCACCAGAGGGAGTTGAGGCAGAACCTCTGGAGAAGGGACTCGGGGAAAAGCAGAGGCTGATAGACGGACAAATGGACCAGCCTCCCCAGGTGATTCTCAGGTACAGTGAGAATGGACAACCTCACTCTGTCCTTGAGATTTTAAGGAAAGCAGGTGATTTCCACGCACCTTCCGAGGTCAGCGTCTGGGAGTCTTGGGGGCTTCCTGAGGGTGAGACACAAAGCCCCTCTGCCAGGGGACAGCCTTACCTCCACGCAGCAGAATGGGGGTCACCGTGAGGGCCTGGATCAGACAGCTAAGGGGTGAGTCCAGACTCTGATGACCTGTTGTGTGACATAGAACAAGCAAGGGTCTCTCCATGCCTCAGTTTTCTCGTTTGTAAAATGGGCTTAATGATATTGCCTACCACACAGGTCATTGGGAGGATTGACTGGGCAAGTACATGTAAAATTCTTAGGATAGGGCGTGCCGTGTGCCTCATAAATGTTAGCTACTTCTGTCCCTTGCTCTTGTCCTCATTATTATTGTTCTCCCTGGACCCACCAGGGCCTGCATTCAGTTGGGTAGAACTGGTCTTTGAGGAAAACTGGGGTAGGACCCAGCACAAACCGATGCTTCTAAAACGTCTTCTTCTCGTGCATAGTACTTAGTCTTTTCTCCTGTTCCCATTTCTTCCACTGGCCAGTGCTAGGGGCCTGGAGGTGAGAGCAGTTGCGTCCTTGAGTCTGTCATTCCAAGTCCCCGCTAACAATCAGTTTTTATCTGCTTCCTCACACTTAGAGCATTCCAGCCCTCCCCGTTGTCAGGTATGACCTTGGAGTGCATCTGTGTGCTGGGTGGGAGCAGCTGCTCCCCTTAACAGCTCCACCTTTGCTGTTTTTTCACTACAGAATGTTCTGGAAAACCAAGTACATTTCTGCTCCTCTCTCGCTGTCCTCCTTTGGGTGGTGATGATGGTGTGTGCGTGCCTGCGAGTGTGAATATGCATGTGTGTGTCTAAGGGGGTTGGTCTTGTTGGAGAAAGGCCCTAGGGACAGGAGTGCACAGCTTTGGTTCAGTAGAAACTGATTACTGCTGCCTTGGCTGCTGTTATGTCGATACCAGAAAGGCACCAGACACATGAGGGGGATACTCAGCCTCCTCAGAGAAGCCCCCATGTCACTGTGCAGCTGCTTAAATGCTTGTGAAGCCCCCGGGATGTCTGTCTCCTCTGACATCCCAGAACTCAGAGTCCACAGCCATCCCAAGCTCTCCATTCCTCTGAGGTCAAACCTGGAACTATGGGATTGCTCCAGTGGCCTTGGCAGCCCCAGCCTGCCCTGTGGTTGAGGAACACTGGATATGCCCCCCTGCTCCCCGACCCCAGAGTCAACTTGCTTTATCATTTAGGGAAGGCACGGTCCAGCCTCAGGGTGATCCCAACCTAGTTGGAAGAAGTCAGCACCCAGGGTGACACTCAAAACAGAATGTGGCCGTTTCCTAAAAGGGACCTGAAGGGCTGAGGGGGTAGAGCAGGGAAGGCCAGAAACATTTCTTCTTGGAGAATCGGAGAAGGCATTGTTGGGAGGACATTCCCACCGAAGGAGTCTTTCCTCGCAGGTACATAAAGACTAGGAACTGTGGACTGTACTTCAAAAACAGAAGTGGGCGAGTGGATCAGCACCGGCTGGTAGGACCTCCACCCTCCTGCGGGTGTCCGAGTGACTGACAGACATCCAACTCTGCCCCAGGGCATTGGCTAAGGCCAGGCTGTGGGGTGTCAAGAAGGAGAGGGAGCAGTTGGGTGCTTCAGGGCTAGGGCCAAGGGCAGCTGGAGGGGAAGGAATCCTGTTAGGTGGTGGGTGTTACCTCATTTATCCTATTCAGTCCTGTGGGTGGGGAGTGGAGGCTCCTTCTAGTTCACAGGTGAGGAGACAGGCTTGGCAGAGTGCGGTGCACAGAAGCACGCAGGCGTGTCAGTCAGAGCTGGGATTTGAGTTAGACTTGTGGGGCTACAATGTCTTGACCTTTACTCTCTCCAGATGAGGAAGGCATCTCCAGCCGAAGGTCTTTTGTCAAAGACTTAGAGTTTCTAAAGTGCCCGCCCGGTGCGACCTGGTGTGAACAGCAGTATTCCTTCTTCTGACTTCTGATTGTCTGTGTTTACTCGGACAACATTTTCACCTCCTTGGGCCTTGCTTCCCACCAGTAATATCTGATTGCTGATGAGGATGTCCCTCAGGGCTCCTCCGACACCCAGTGCCCCTCGGCCTGGTGCCTATTTTCCATCCTCTCTCCCGGCAGCTTCCCCCGCCCCCGTGGTCTGTATTTTTTCAGTTGCTCAAACACACTCTTGTCCCATCATTCTGTCAGCCTTCCTAACACGTTTCTCCTCACACGTAGCGACTTCCCTGTGTTGCAGAATGCCTCGTATCCTTGACAAGGACACACAATGACAGGTGGAGCCTGGCACAGGGCCAGTGGGCGGCACCCAGTCGTTTTGCTCCATCGGATCAGCTGTGGACGTTTCATTTAAAGAATCGAGGTTAAGTAGCAGGCGCTGAGCACAGTCATCAGCCAAGGACAGTCACTCTTCATCTCAGACATTGCTTTTTTATAAAGGCTTTTTATAGCCCACTTTCTTGGGAATAACTTTTTCTTAATTAAGAATTCTAATTTTAAAGTGAGCTCCGACCTCTTTCCAGCATCTTTCTAGCATTTTGATTGCATTTCATGGGTAGAAATGAAGATCCTTTATTGTTTGCTGTCTGTTTTCCTCCACGGCTAGTTGCCCATGGCAAACTGGCACTTTAGTGAAATCATAAATGGGTTTATCCTGCTAGAATATCAGTAAAGGTCTTTGGGGAGTCTTATTGAGGTGCTGAAAAGGACTTAAGGCCCCATGAGATCTGAATCCTCCAGGGTGTTTCTGCATGGCTGGGGGCCGGGGTGAAATGATGCTTGAAATTGAGATGGGGGTGGGGCGCTATCTTCACAGTGAACTTGAGGGAGGAAGCAAATGGGACATAATGTCTCCTTTAGGATTCAGAGAATTCGGGGTTTGGCGCAGTCAGATCTCAGAAGTTGTTTTATACCGAAGAGGGTTATTCTGGGTGTTACCCTCAATGTCATATATGAGGAGCTGCATGCTTAAGGCAGGCAAAGGGAATGGTCATCTCTATGACCCAACAATAGGGCTAAGAAGCCTTCTCAGGTGCATAAGGAGACATCCACACAATGGTGTTCTACAAACCACTGAAAACATCCTGTATGTCTGTGAGTAGGAGACAGTGAACAATGAATAAAAGAACTGGAGCTGCGTGTGAGAATATGAAAAAAAAAAATCTCAAAAAATATAACGTTGGACCCCAAATTACCAAATGATATTGTACAGTTTAATACTTACTATTTATGTAAGGTTTGAAAACAAATCAATGTTTATATATTGTTTGTGGCTACAAACATGTAGTAAAATATAAAAGGCAAATATAATAAAAAGGAATGTCAAATTTAAGAGTGGTTGCCCAGTGGTTCAGTGGTTGAGCATCAACCCATGAACAAAGAGGTCTCTGATTCGATTCCCGGTCAGGACACATGCCATGTTGTGGGCTCAATCCCCATTAGGGGTTTTGCAGGAGGTAGCTGATTGATGTCTCTCTCTCATGGATGTTTCTATCTCTCTATCCCTCTCCCTTCCTCTCTAAAATTCAATAGGAACATATTTTTTAAAAATTAATTAAAGAATTGTTTTTAAAGAGTGGTTACCTCTGGGATGGGAGGGAAAATGAGATCGGGGAGGGGTTAACAAGGAACGTTATGGTTTCCCTAATTTTTTTAAAGTAGTTAGTGGAATGTACATATTACATAATAATAATAAAATATTATTCATCTTTTTGAATGGCTGAAATAATTTTGTAATGTTCAAATTTGTTTTTAAAAATGGGGAGAATCAGTTCTAATCAGTTGGGCCAGCAGTTTGAATTCTGAGTAATTACTAACCAGATTTTCCCGGGGCTGATAAGCTTGACCTTTTGCTCTTCTCCCATCTCACCCCATCAAGTGCATTGTGGCCACTTCATTGCCCCCGAGTATTAGCACCTGTGGGGAAACAAAAGAAAATAGGAAACCTCTAATTTCCTGCTTGTTTTAATGAGTGGGAGTAGAAATTATGCACTAAGGGAAAAATTTACATTTTGAGCCTGTTTTGTTCATTGGTTACAGTGCCAGTAGCCAAGGTTAACTGAGACAAACTTGAATTCTGGGTAAATCCATAAGAATCTTCTATCAAACCATAGGGGAAAGGATGAAACGCCACTGTGCAGCCTGTCCCAGGGGAGTGATTTTGATGTCCTGTTTTGAATCGGTGTTTGCTTTGCATCAACAGCATGGCCGGACCCCCCTGCATCTCGCTGCCAATAAAGGTCATCTTGCTGTGGTCCAGATCTTGCTGAAGGCTGGCTGCGACCTCGATGTTCAGGACGATGTGAGTAGAGGCCACCATTCTATCGGGGTGGGTTGTCAGAAGAGCTTGTCTGCCTAGAAATCCACAGTACAGCATGGAACCAGCTGTGAGGTGGGAGGGGAGTAGATGCTCTTCAGCCCCTTTTATCAACGTCTTGGTCCCCATGGTGGGAAGAGCTTACTCTTGAAGACCTATTCTGGGACCCATTCTCAATGGCAAATTCGAGTTTGGGAATGTGTGCTGAATTCCTCTCATGGTTCATTTCCTACCAAGCATCATTCAAGTGCAGAGCTTCAGAGGGCATTTTGTCTGTGTCCTGTCTCAGTATGAAGGAGCACCACACACACACTCACTCACACACACACAAGTGAGTATTGATCAAGCTTACCATTGGAGAAAAGGTGGGGCTTAAAAACTTATTTTATTCCTTTTCTCACTTTGATTTCTCTTAGTCAGTGTACATTCAGTTTAAAACAACCTATTCAAAGAAAACAGAACTGGTCTCATGGAACCCAAGAAAAAGGAGGCCTGCAGATGGAGCTCACTCTGGTGCTGTACCATTATTGAGACTCAGCCTCTGAGTCTCTTCACTCAGATTATCTAGAGAGACTCCAGCTGGCTTCTTTGGGATCACGTATCCATTTCTGAGCCAATCAGCAGTGGTGGGGTGGGGTCACGTAGTCCCTGGGGTGCCCTATTGGGTCTTTGGGAAAGGTGGCTTCTCTAAGAAGGGGATATAGAAAAGATTATGTAAATTGTTCTCTGGTTAACTATTAGGAAAAAGTCCTATGATAATGTGACTGGAAACTGTTTCTAACTCTAGTTTGTGCAGTAGGACTCTAAGGAATAAGCCCTTTTGTAAGGAACACAGCATCTTGGAGAGTTTACGCTTATAACCTCTTCCCGATTCACCTTTAATAACTGTGGTTACAGAGTATTAGCAAATTTGAGATCCTCAGGCATGCTAGGGTGTGCATTACCAAAAGGCTTCTAGTTTTCTTTGGGCCTCTGTGTAATGTTCTAAAATTTGGCAAACAGAGATAACTAAATAGGTCATTGTTTTATGATGGGCAGAAGGCTGTTCAGTGTCATTCATAAATATCTGGTTATATTTGGAATCTGTTGAGTCATCAAGAACATTATTTTCAGAAGACACTGATTTAAGTTTTAAGCTGTTGATATCTACCTTGGGCCATATGCTTTTTTTATTTTCCCATACTGTAGCCATCATTACATTCATGATTACATCATGCCCATAGATGACAGCAAAAATACCAGGAGAGAGAAGAGATTCTGACCACAGAAAAGGCAGGCCTTGGAGTTGCTGGTGCACACGTCTTGGGTGCATCTGGTCTCCTCTTTAGATAATTAAAGCCCTTGCTTGTCATGATGGCAAGGCTGCAATGCCAGGCATGCTAACCTATCCCAACCCAGCACTCTTGTCTGAGGTCTAATGCAGCAAAAGCCATGCTAACTCCCTAGCTTCTGCTATTTATATCAGACAAGATAAGAACTCAAACAGGCAGGAGTTCTCACAAGGTAACCAAGGGGAGCCGTGTCAATATAGCTATGTTAGCCGAAGGAAAAGCCAGCGCTACTTTAAACAGGAACACCCTCTCTCTTTTTTTGAATTAGTATTTATTTTCTTTCATCGTTTTCACTTAAACAGGACAATCCATACATTGCTTCTCTCAGATAACTTAATATAAAACAAAATAAGAACACAACAATAAAACAGTGTAAAAACAGGTGAGGATGGAGAAGGTGGAATGGACCTTCACTAGTTCTGAAGTAATGCATTTGCCAGATGTGGTTCATGTCTGTCTTCTGTATATCTGCTGTGCTTGTTAATGATCCGTCTTGAAACTGATGCAAGAATTTCAGGAAGAAAACTCTTTATGGGTGCTCTTTAAAGAAGCTGGAAAATTCATTATTGAAAAAAGTAATTTCAGAAGTTGCCTGTACCCAAGACATTATCTTGGATGGTGGATAGAAACAGAGAATGTTAATGTTATGAAGCATTTACCCCTGACTTCATCTTCTGCAGATACTGTTCTTTATGTCATGGTAAAGACTGAGAATTAGTTGAAGAATGTCTTCCAGTGGCCTGGAGTGGGATTATTATGAATTTGAACCTGTGGAAACCAGTTCTTTAGAATATGCAACCGCAGGAGCAAATTCCCTCTTGCCTCTCGTCAATCCTATCAACTCTCATTGGAGCTCTAACGCCATCTCTGATTGGTCAATGAGCAGTCACACAGCCCCCACCCCAGAAATAGTCCAGGACCCTGTGGCCACGGTAAAAGGCATGAAGGAAGAAAAAAATAAGAAAAACCAGAGAAGAAAGGCTAGGAAGAACCCTAGAAGATCAGAGAGAGAAAAAGAGGTCAGCAACTTGCTTTGTGTACCTAGCCTGTCTTGAGCTTCCTTGCAACATGTCTGCCTGTGTCACCTGGAAGGGGTTCCTCCTGAAGAGGGGCATGTTCCACCCTTGCATGACTGGGGTTTCTTCCATGAGCTTTGCTTTGGAATCTGCTCACTCTTTCTCACCATGTAGGAGAGAATACTGAAAGCATATCAGAACAAGGATTTAGACCTCAGAGCTTCCAAACATCTTAAAAATCCCCAAGTAAGGAACACTGATGTCAGAAAAATTGAGAACTGGCAGTTCATGTACTTTACAAACAGGTCAACGTGTTCCAAAGGAAAGTGCCAACTGCAAGTTTCCAGCTGCAGCATTTTTCCTTCTGCTGCTTTGCAGTTAATCATTCAACAGCTACTCCTCGGGCACCTAGAGAGGCCATGGCACTGCACTGAAGCACTTAGCTTACTGGTAATCATGCCATAAAGGGCCGCCCAACCCCACAGAGGTACCTGAACTTTTAAAGACCTGTCCTCAGGTTAATTGGCTTCACAGATTGGAAACAGGTAGGGGTGAGTGCAAAGAGCCTCAACTATTTGAATTCTCACCCAACCATGCTACCCGAATTAGCTTGTTTATCCTCAGCGAGGCACTGACCTGCACTGGGTCTTGGTTTCTTTTATCAGTAGAAGGAAGGAGTTGGATGCCATGACACTTGGAGTAGAGTAGAGGTCAATAAGTATTCACTGAATAAACAATGAGTAAATGCTGTTGACAGTGTTAGACTTTTCCCAGTTTTTTAAAAATTTCCACAAAGTTTCAGAATTTCATGTTTAAATCATAGAAATAAGAATTATGTCACACTTGCTTCTTGGGCATATTAATAAGTATGTATTAAGGACACATTTTGTTCTTTTCTGTGTCCTATTTCAAAGAGGAAATATTTCAACAGTAAACTTTCGCTTTATAGGAGGAAAGTAGATTTGCAGGTAATTGACTGTGTTCCAATTTGTTCTCAAGTTGTTCAGTTGTTTGTGTTGTGCTCTGGGGAAGCATCTCCCAGAGCCTTCACTTCTCACCTTAGTAATTTAAAGGTGGCTGGGTTTATACCGGAGAAGTGTCTCTCTCAGTCCCCCAGAACCACCCCCTCTAGTGTGAACAAAGCTCAGGGTGCAGCTGAAGGACAGCCTCTTCTAGTGGGGAACGGTTGACTTTGGCTTTCACCAGTGTTTACGGACCCATAGGCAAGGATGAAGGCTCTGAGGGACGGCTCTGTCTGAGGGGAGTAAAGGTGGGGGCGGGGGCTGTGGCCTGGAGACAAGCAGTGCCACTCAAAGGTCTCCGCAGAGAAAGGGGAGATGCAGGAAACAGCTGTGCCAGGTGGTTGAGGACCGTTTGTGTTCTCTTTTTTGTTTGTTTGTTTGAATCTAGCTTCTTTTATTTAGCCCAATCTATGTGAGTTGCATACATGTTGCATGAAACAGTAGTTCATTCCTCTTACCAAGTAGTATTTCATTGAATAGATATACCATAATTTATCCATTTGCCAGGTTTTTTTTGTTTCTTTTTGTTTGTTTTTTTATTAAATCTTTATTGTTCAGACTACTACAGTTGTTCCTCTTTTTTCCCCCATAGCTCCCCTCCACCCGGTTCCCACACCACCCTCTGCCCTTACCACTCCCCCCCCCACTGTCCTTATCCATAGGTGTACAATTTTTGTCCAGTCTCTTCCTGCACCCCCCACACCCCTTTCCCCCCAAGAATTGTCAGCCCACTCCCTTTCTATGCCCCTGATTCTATTATATTCACCAGTTTATTCTGTTCATCAGATTTTTTATTCACTTGATTTTTAGTTTCACTTGTTGATAGATATGTGTTTGTTGTTCATAATTTTTATCTTTACCTTTTTCTTCTTCTTCCTCTTCTTAAAGAATACCTTTCAGCATTTCATATAATACTGGTTTGGTGGTGATGAACTCCTTTAGCTTTTTCTTATCTGTGAAGCTCTTTATCTAACCTTCAATTCTGAATGATAGCTTTGCTGGGTAGAGTAATCTTGGTTGTAGGTTCTTCACTATTTCTTTCACCAGGTAGGGGAAGTTTTCTGTCATTATTTCTTCAAATAGGTTTTCAATATCTTGCCCTCTCTCTTCTTCTTGGCACCCCCATAATTCGGATGTTGGTACGCTTGAAGTTGTCCCAGAGGCTCCTTACACTATCTTCATATTTTTTGATTCTTCTTTTTTCTTTCTTTTTCAGTTGGGTGTTATTTGCTTCTTCGTATTTCAAATCTTTGACTTGATTCTTGCGATCCTCTAGTCTGCTGTTGGATCTCTGTATATTATTCTTTATTTCAGTCAGTGTATGCTTAATTTCTAATTGGTCCCTTTCATATCCTCGAGGGTCTCACTAAATTTATTGGCGGTTTCTAGAAAATTTTTGAAAAACCTTATAACCATGGCTTTGAACTCTATATCCAGTAGTTTGCTTTCCTCCATTTCTGTCATTTGTGACCCTTTTTTTTTTGTCTCTGCTTTTGGCTGCTTCCCTGTGTTGATAGAGTGGCTTTCTGTGCTAGGTGGCTCAGCCTCCCCAATTACCTGAGGTGGACACTCTTGGTGCACCCCTTTGTGGGCTTTGTGCACAGTCTTGTAGTTAAGCCTTGATTGTTGTTGGTATCAGTGGGAGGAATTGACCTCCAGGCCAATTGGCTGTGAGAATCAGCTGTGTCTACGGTGGGAGAACTTCTGTGCTGGAGACACCCTACTGGGGCAAGACTTGCTTCAGTGGGGCTTTGGTGCTCACTGAGTCTGCCCCCTGAGTGTTAGCCTTATGGATCTGAGGAGTTATAATCTGGATGGTCCCACTCTGACCACTGGGTACACGGGCTCTTGGATCTCTAAGGAGGTGCTAATTTAGCCTCTGCCTGAGGCTACCCAGCAGGAGCTATGGAGAGATCTGCAGATTCCTCTTCTTTGTTTGGGGTTTGGAGGTGCCCAGCTGAGGCCCAGCTGTGAAGCAATGCAAGCTGCTGTGGGGCCTTTGGCCTTCTTTTGGATGTTCTGGGTCTCTCTGACCCAGCTGCCGTTTGTTAGGTAATTTTAGATTGCAAAGGGCCAAAAAGCCTCTGCACAGAGCTTGGGTGGGGCGGGGTCTCAGGGAATCAACAGGGTGGAGCAAACAGCTATGGCTGATCATCAGCCCTGCCCTAAGAGGCCCTGGGTCTCAGTGTCCCATGGAATCGCTGCAAGTACCTTTGAGAGAAAGCCGCCCTCGAGTTCCGCCCGCTGCCAGACAGTCCAGTTTCTCCCCATATGAGTTTGGGTCCCCAGAGACTTGCCGGGAACTGGAGTCCAGGGCGGTCGGGAGCTTGAGATTCCCTCCGGATTGAAAAAGACAACCGTGTCCTCAGTTGCCAGCCCTTTCTGCGTGTTTTACCATACCTCTGCACTTTACTTCCGCACCTCCTCTGAGTCTCAGTGTGCTTTTCTCTTTCCTTCTAGTTGTAGAATTTCCACTCAGCCAGCCTTCCTGTGGTTCTGGATGATGTCCATTTTGTCTTTTAGTTGTATTTTTGAAGTGGTTGTGCGAGGCAGCAATCTCCGGTGTTTACCTATGCCGCCATCTTGGTTTCTCCAGTTTGTGTTCTCACTGCAGCCTCATACTGTTGTTAGATCTCTTTAGTCTTTTTTTATTTTATTTTTTATTTTTATTGATTTCAGAGAGGAAGGGAAAGGGAAAGAGAGAGAGAACCATCAGTGATGAGAGAGAATCAATGATAGGCTGCCTCCTGCAAGTCCTCGCAATGGGGATCGAGCCCACAACCTGGGCATGTGCCCTGCCTGGGAATGGAAGCATGATCTCTGGTTCATAGGTCAATGCTCAACCACTGAGCCACGCTGGCCGGGCGAATCTCTCTTTGAGTCTTGATAATCCATCTAGAAATTGGTTCCTAAGGGCTGAACTAAAAGTTAGATTTAGCTTCTCGCATTGAGCTAGACTTTCACAAAGGAAAGTTATCTCGAGGGAAGTAAATACAGTAGATTCATGTTAAAAGAAAGTAATAAATGATGGTTACATTCTGGCTCCAAAGCTGCCTCAATTCATGATTTAGTGGCAGCTTGTGAAACACAATAAAACATTTGACCGAAAGCAATGCATAGGGTAGACCGTGCCCTAATCAGCAGAGGCCCTTTGTGAGGCGACTTGTGTGGCCGGAGAGGCTGATGCCACCGGTGTCCAGGGCTTACTGCTCACACTTTACGCACAGCATGGCGGAGTGGTTAAGTTTTGTTCTGTGAAAGGTTGTTCTGGTGGGTCCAAGGAGTGTTCGTTAAAGTGCCTGCAGTTTGTGGGAACGTTAAAAGGCCTCTAACCATTACCAGTCTGGCTGGCCAAGTCAGTATTTATGCTGAAAGGGTGAGCCTCAACCTCACCTTTCTGGCTGAGAACAGAATGCCAGATCAGGTCAGTATTAACAAATTGCACTCGAGGTCCATTTTGTGCAAATCCATCACCATTCTGATAGGGAGATGGGCAGTCTTAGAAATTCTTATAGAAACTTAAAAAGTTAAGACACGGGCAGTTTTTCATATGATCACTTGTCTGGGCATTAAGTATATGTCATCTGGAGACACTTCTTACGATGTTTGAAATGGATGTGAAATGGCCATGGTCTTCTTTTGCCTGCATGTCCCAAAGACAGGGTCCTCTTTGAACGAGGGGCCTGGGAAGGTGCGGAAAAACCAACTCTACACTTAATTTATAATGGGAATAATAGCATAGGGTGCTGAGGGCAGGGATCTGCGGACAGTGGATGAAGTCCTGGTAATGGGGCTCGATGTCCTGACCGACACTGCGGAAATCTCCCCCAAGTTATACGAATGAACAGTGAGAAAGGATTCTGCCACACAGTCCATTACAGCTCAGACTTTTAATAAATAGCTGTTTTTCCTCGTACTAAAAATTAAATGTTAAGTACAAAAAGTTGGGAGGTATTAAAAAGTATAAGGCAGAAAATAAAAATCACTTCTCGTGGATTTCTAAGGGGGGATTTTTAATCTAAAGAAAGTGAATTTGAGTTTTAAATAGCATTAAGTGCTTTTTTATTGTGATAGAATGTACATAACATAAAATTTACCATTTTAACCATACAGCTCAGTGGCATTAAGTACATTTACAGTGTTGTGCAACCATCACCATCATCCATCTCCAGAACATTTTTTCCAATTAAGTGCTTTTAAAGTGTATTGTTTTTAAATTCCAGGGAGTTTAGTAAGTAGAACCAGAATTTCATTAGGGTTATTTATAGGTAGCAGTGCATTCCTCTTTGAAAAATCTTAAGGTTTTCTGTTTTATAATTGTCTCCCTTTCTTTTCTGGGGCTAAGGGCCAGGGATGCCCCAGTATGATTGCCCCTCTGGTTCTCCACTAGGAAACTTTATTTATGCAAACTCTTATCAACCAAACCACAGAACCCCAGGGAAGGCAGGGGCCTTGAGGATCATCACCCCTCCTTTTACCAGTGAAGGAACATTTTCTAATGATCACTCACCTCCCCTGTGAACCTGGACCCCAGATTGGACTCCATTCGTCTCAGCTTGACTTGCTGAGTGCTTGTCAGAGATCAGATGTGCTCTTAGGGCACTTCAGAACTCTCCCTTCTTACAGTCTTGACTGTCTTTCCTCTAAGACAGTGGTTCTCAACCTTGGCTGCACATTAGAATCACCTGGGAATCTTTTTAAAATCCTGAATTCTGG